TTGAAGGCAGAGCTGAAGTCCACAAACAGGATCCTGGCGTAGGTTCCTGGGGAGTCCAGATGCTGCAGGATGAAGTGTAGGGCCATGTTGATGGCGTCATCTACAGACCTGTTGGCTCTATATGCAAACTGCAGGGGGTCCAGGAGGGGGGCCATGAGGGTCTTGAGATAGGAGAGAACCAGGCGCTCAAATGACTTCATGACCACAGATGTCAGAGCCACGGGTCTGTAGTCATTTACTCCAGTGATCCTAGGTTTCTTGGGGACAGGGATTATGGTAGAGGACTTGAAGCAGGCAGGCACATGACATGCCTGCAGTGAGGAGTTGAAAATGCCAGAAAACACTGGGGCCAGCTCGTTTGCACAGTGTCTGAGGGTGGCAGGAGACACATCGTCTGGGCCGGGAGCTTTTTGAGCATTCAGACTCTTAAACTGCTTCCTCACACCTGCTTCATGAATATGAAGAGTTGTGGTGGGAGGAGGTGGTGTGAAATCCTCTTTTGTGTGGGGTGAGGAGGGGGGTGTTGTAGGTGAAGTGTTTGAAGGTGGTGATGGCTCTATGGAGGGGGGAGAGGTGGGGGAATGAGTGTCCAAAGTGTCTCTATAGGGCTTTGGAGCGTGATGTCACGGGAGCTGGTCCACGCCCCCTCCCGCCATGACAGTAGGCCAAAGAAAGTACACGGAAGCGTCAGCTATGGTTCGTACGTGCTGTGTTGTCGGTTGCAACGTTAGATCACACGATAGGGAAGGCAAGAAGCTGGAAAATGGGCTCACTTTTAATCGTTTCCCCTCCTGGAGGCAACGGGAGGGATTTCATGTATCCGATATTACTAAACGAAGATGTCAGGCTTGGATTGCAGCGGTCAGATGAGCGGATATCGAGTTCTCTGCCATCCCCAATTTTTTGTTGGTTTGCTCGCAGCATTTTCTTTCCGGTGAGTTCTAAATAAATTCATATCTCTCTTAATAGACTTTTAGTGTATTTCGAATGCGCTGAGGTCATAGATAATTAGATAAAACATCGTAATGTGTGATGCTATAGAATCACGTCATGTTGACGGAGTAGCTTATTATTTGGCATTATTGCAGGCAAACCAGCATATGAAATATGAAACAGAAAAGAAAAGTATGTTTATTTTTTTTATTCAAGATCTGTTCACCTGTACTTAGCAAGTACATACACATGAAATGCAAACTATTTACATGGCAACGCACAGCTGGCAACCTGGCTGTATCTTGGTCATATGGTCAACGTACTCACAACGTGGAGGCTTAAAAACGGCCAAATCTTGTACCCAACCGTTTGTGAACTAGATGTGTGTCTCCAGGAATTTATAATTCCGAAAATGATTCGCCGTGTATGCGCTGATTCCACAGACAGAGTAAGCGAAGATATCGGGATAGGACAACGGCGGTAGGCTGTCTGGGTTTCCACTCCACTGCCTTATTTCATACGGGTCCACATTACCGATGCACGCTATTTTTTCCAAGTACCATCTCTTGGCGTCTGGATGCAATCGGTCGCGATACAGCCCTTTGTCTTTTGCGTTGATTTTAAGCAAGGTTCTGGCAGTCCCGCTTCCAACACAGTGTGTTTGTTTTGATTTGTGGCCTTCTGACATGGCGCCGCGATCCCACAATGCACTGCGGCGTGACGTCCACTCCAAAGCCCTATTGTTGGGGCCGTTGGAGGTGTGAAGGCTGCCTGATGGCTCGTCAAAACGGCAGTAAAAGTCGTTGAGGGTGTTGGCCAAGAGCAAGTCATCAGTGGAGTGGGGGGTTTTAGGCTTGTAGTTTGTGATATTCCTAAAACCTTTCCACACAGAGGCCGAGTCATTCTCTGAGATCTGCTGCTGCATCTTCTCAGAGTGCTGATGTTTAGCAATGTCCACTTCTTTAGTGAACCTGTACTTGGCCTCTCTGTAGCAGTCCCTGTCTCCGCTTCTGAACGCCTTTCTCTTTTCCAGCCACAGCTTTTTGAGTTTAGGAGTAAACCAGGGTTTGTCATTGTTATAACTCACCCTGGTGCGTGATGGCACAATGCTGTCCTCACAGAAGTGGATATAGGAGGTGACAGTGTCCGTAAACTCGTCCAAGCTGTTAGAAGCAGCCTTCATTGTGTCCCAGTCTGTAGACTCCAAACACGTGCGAAGCTCCTCCACAGCCTCGTTGCTCCACAGTTTTTTGGTCCTCACGACAGGTTTGGAGAGCTTCAGCCTCTGTCTGTTTTTAATTTGCAAGTTCATAAGCATTTTCCTTTTCCATTTCACAATCAATTCTACCCCAGGTCAAAAATATGTCTGGGAAAATTTCTTAATATAATATTATTTATAAATACACCCTTCCGGCGATTAATTGCATACCTGCATGGAGGCAAGACCTCACAGCGGAAGCATACTCCATAATGTGTTTTACATTATTATATGTATATATATGTAATGTGGTATTTTTCAATTATTGTATTTACCAACATCAAGAAGTCACAAGCAAAGAAAGACCACACCATGGTGCATATTTAAACAAGGAGAGTTTACTGGTCAAAACTATTTATTAAACAAATAAAACACATTTTCTTAACCACCAAAAAATACACGTTCAAAGCAACACAACGGAGGCCCAATATCAGACAGGATTCCACTCTGTAGAGTGGGCAATCATAATGAAGCGGTTGGTTTTATTTTGTGGATTCAAACTGCTCTACATATTTTTGGCCACCAGATGTCACCAGAGATGACTGTGTTGAAAAGCTTCGAGTAATGAACCGTTTTTCAATACAAGCTTCAATGCTTCAAAAAGCTTCATTTGGCCATCACTAACTCCAACACTAACTGCTCAAATGTCTCCTCATGTCCACAGAAGTCACAATTCCCTGTGTCATGTTATCCATCTTTTTAAGTGTGCTATTCAAGCCTGTGTGACCGACTCTTACTCTCAAGATTATATCCTCTTCTCTTCTATGACAGAGAGCTAAAGAAAACTGAGGGCTTAAATAGACATCACGCAATCATGGAAAGAGACACAGCTGGGGAAAACAAGGCGCAGGTGAACAGAATCAATTAACTAGCAAGAGGGGAAGCTAAACTGAACATAACGTATATGAGATGAGAGACTATCAAAATAAAATAGGAAGCCTAAACACTGAGACACAGACTAAGACACAAACTGGACTGGCACAAACTGGACGGACCAAAGTAAAATCAAAAACAACTGATTCCTGACTAAACACGGGAGACTTAACAGAAACATAGATTATGCACAGGGAACATAGAACAAAAGGAAAAAATAACAAAGAAAACTCTGAATACTAAATCAGAATGAAAACACAATCTAAGTCAAGCTAAATTATGTTAAATTTGGGCGAGGTGAGATTGATTACAGACAGAGCAACTTTACTGAAATCCCAGGTAAATCGCGGCATTTATGTTTTGCCCCATTTTTCGGATCCAAAAAGATCTGACGAACCAAGTAGAATAAGTCACGTGATATTATTTACAACAGACACACAGTTACACGATGCTCCGGTTCAGTCAGCTCTGTGAAATGATTTCTCTGCCTCCTCAGATCTGGTCCCAACTCTGCCAACAACACCTCAAGCTGGCCCACTGACATCCTGAACTATGTACGAACACACAGCTTCAGCTCCTGGATCCAACCAGGAAATTCTCCCTGCTGCTGTTTTCTTAGTTTCTTACTTTTATCAGCTCATCATCATTTGACACCATTTTTGTTTTCTGCCAGTGTGAGAGTAGCAACATTGTAATAGTAAACAGTGTAAAAGCATTGCTTTACAGACTGTATTTCAGTTAATTACTTGATTGTTCTTATTGTGTTCAGTGTTCAGAGCTGATGTTCACTAGAGAGTGTTATCTGTTGTAATTACTGCTGCTATATCTGCACCTGTTTGCGCAGACAGCCCCATATGTGAACCCACTGTCAGAGTGCCTCTCGAGTATTCTTTGATCCACTAGAGGACAGTGTTGAGCCACAAATTCAAGATTCTAGAGTCAAAGCTTTTATGGTCAATGGTCAATGGTAACTTTATTGTCCCTAACGGGAAATTGATTTGCAGCATGTCCATACAAACAAACAGACAACCAACACATCACATACACTCACCAAAATAATATAAGCCTGATAAAACAACCTAGATTTTTCATCAAAAAAGTGCAATGTGCAATGGCAACAACACTTATGGTTTAGTGTTAAAAGTGTTATTGTTATTGTCATGTGTCCAAAGAAAAAAGCATTTCTCTGTACAATGAAATTCTTTCTGGATAAAATGATGGATAAAAAATAGATAAAATACAAATAGTATTAATAAATAAGTGGACTAGATCTTGTTTGTTTTTTTGTTTTTTGTTTTTTTGCAAGGTTATCTGTAGTGACAGGCATCCTTTCCTGTGTTAGGACTTCTGGAAGGCATTGTTTCCCAAACCAGGAATTTCAAGACCAGCAAGTTAGTGTGTAGCGACAACCTTTTCTTGATCCATCGTTTTGTAACAGAAAGTGAGTTTGCCCACAAGCTTTAGCCTTTGCATGATACGCTCTGAACAGACACTAGCTCTCTTCTGGCCCCTGTATGACCACATGTTTTTATAGGAGTTATATTCTTCTGAGAGGAAGGCTCTCCAGTGGATTCTGGACTTAAACTATTTGTGTCTCTGTTATCAATATGGAGGACAGTGAGATGACCTTTACCACATGTCCTACATGTCAAACACTTGTACAGTCTTTACTTATGTGCCTAGCACATAAGCAACCAAAACACAGCCCTTTCTCCTTTAGAAAAAGCAATTTGTCTCTGCGCTTCTTCCGCTGAAACTGTTGACACTCCTCCAGTGTGTGTTGTTGAGTACAGCAGACAAAAGATGGCTTTACTGTAAAGTCATGGTTTGTTGTGGTAATTAACCTTCCTGTGCTGTAAGTTTTATCCATGTTCATGGGTGTGACTGTAGCAGCAAAGCTGTTCCCTTTAATTTGGTTGGTTGGGTGTAACTTCCTTCAGTTTGTTGTTGACCTTTCAGACAGGGATTGTTGATGTTACATTCTGAATGTCCCCAAATAAAGGATCCAAAAGAATTTGAAAATTTTTAGAATTTTTCAGTATATCATATGCAAAGGCTCCATTTCTCTCTCATTTTGTATGGCAGTTTGCATAAAATGATTTTCATGTTCTTTGGCATATCCAGTTCCTGCACACATTGCAGGGTTTTCATGACATTACAACTCCCATGTAAGAACAGAGAATGAGCTTTCAATGATTTCACATCTTCATTTTTAATGGCAGGCCAGGATAATGTTTTTTCAATGTACGCAGTTGCGAGTTTATATTCATTTCCAGTGTTCTTTGAGCATTTGCTTTGCTTGTAAATAGCCTTTTCCTGCAGCCATATATTGGCAACTGTGTACTAGCTCTCTTGGCTGTCATGTTGTAAACTGTTCCAACTAATACAGTACAATACAATACAATTTTTTCCACTCCTTGTTCAAACGCGCCGATGAAAGAGATGTACTGAAGAGGATCGCCATTGAATACAGGGATTTTCCTGGATGGTATAGATCAGGGGTCAGCAACCTTTAACCAAAGAGCCACTTTCCACGCAAAAGAAAACACTGGGAGCCGCAAATACTTTTTGAAATCTAAAATGAAGATAACACTGTATATATTGTTTTTTACTTTTATGCTTTGTGTGAACAACTAAAGTAAGTAAGTAAAGTTTATTTATTAAGCGCTTTTCACAGACAGGCAGTCACAAAGCGCTGTACACAAATATTAAAATAAACAATACAATCAAAAGCCATTATACACAATGTAAAAGATCAAATGTAAATAATGTAAAGAATATAAAATATGTAGATCAACAAAAGGCTTGTTTGAACAAAAAAGTTTTTAACTGCTTTCTAAAAGAATCCACAAAGCAAATAAGGTGTGTTGCTTATGAAATCCATGAAGTGCTACAGAGAAAATTACATTTTATTTATGTAATTAACACATTTTGAACTCTTAAAGAAATATAACAAAAGGACAGACACCCAGCTCCCACCCAGGAGGCGGACGCACCTGAGCGGCACCCGCGATCACGCCTCGCCGCCTTAAAGGCTGTGCTCTCTCTGCTGTTGTGTTGTCGGGCTGTGAGCTGAAAAGCTACAGCCGGCTGTATGCGTACAGCAACCGTGTGTGAAAAGTGATCAATAAAGAGATGCTGAAAAGCGTGTTCATGCAAACATCGTCGGGTCTGCCGTGATATGTTTACAACGGGACTTCTGCTCCTGAACCTCTGCGCACAGCGTCTGCAGATCGGGGCTGTACGAAGTCACTTTCATCTTTACGCAGGACTGTAAGCTGTCGTCTGTGAGGCGTGAGCGGTGTTTGTTTTAACATAGTTCATGGTGGAGCTGCTGACATAATGTGGATCCGAAGATCCATAACTGGCCTACCTGGGGTCGAAAGTCTCGATAACTGCACGGCGTTTCGGTGGGTACACCGGCTTCCGCGAGTGTGACACTTATTTTGAGCAGTGAAAAAATAATAAGATATAATTTTATTTTTATATTTCAAAATCACAATAATCTTCCGATTTAGAACTACAAGTTAAAAAAAGAACTAAACACAAATAAAATACACTTCAGCGAAATACTTCTAATTTATTTTCCCAAACCACGCGGAGCGCCGCAGTATAAGGACAAAAGAGTCGCATGCAGCTCCAGAGCCGCAGGTTGCCGACCCCTGGTATAGATTGTAGCAGCCCTTGGCATCAAGAACGACAGAAGAGTCTCTAACGGGTGCAGCCATTTATTTCCACTCCACACACGGCTGATTCTCTTGACATTGAGCACCGTGAAAACTATAAAATAAGAAAAAGTTGATACCCGTACAGTACTTTTTGAACTAATAACAATGAGCAATAACAACAATGAGCTTAAGTTAATTCAGGTAAGTTCAAAACAAGTAATTCTGAGATATACAGTCACAGATTAAATAAAACAAAAGGGGTTACTTCAAACAGCATCAAGGGGTTACACAGTTCAGTTAAATAAAATATAACAACAGATCACCTCTCATCACATACCTCAGTCCGCTTGCCAACTGCCCTGTTACTGTAAAACCTTAATAAACCACGGTGAAGCAAAATGTCTTGTGCTTAAGACTCTATGTGAAAGTTAAAATATATATGTTCAGTGCACATAGAGATATAGAGTATATAGTTACATAGTTATACA